TCTTTGTGGCAGCCCCTGAGATATCACCCCTAGTCCATCTTTTCACCAAACTAGACATACCCAGTTCCAGCAACTGTTCTTTATATATTTTATCCTCCAGTCCCCTAATCATCTTTGTTGCTCTTCTCTGCACTTTTTACATTGTGGCGATCAAAAAACAACAACATTAATTTATCAGTCTCACATTCTTACACAAGACAAGTATAATCATCTTTCCCATCAATGCAATCCCTTGGATCTATATGACTTAAGTTTTTTATTTTTATTTTGGAAGCTTCTTTTCCAGTATTTCTGAAATTGTGCGGCTGATCCCACTGAGGCTTTCTAAGGACATTCCCAAACTCCTCTGCTATCCCTTAAAAAAGTAAACAAACAAATATACAGCCTGAGGAATAAAGCCAGGAGTGGGATTCAAATTTTTTAACAACCGGGTCTGTGAGCGTGGCTTAGTTGGTGGGTGTGGCTTGGTGGTTATGTGACTGGATGGACGTGGCTTGGTGGCCATGTTATTGGCTGGGCGTGGCCAACTCAACATCACTCACATCGAGGCACGCATCTCCTCGCCTGGCCTCTCATGACTGTGGGGATGCTGCAACAGTCGTAAGGGTGAAAAATGGTCATAAGTCACATTTTTCAGTGCCATTGTAACTTTGAATGGTCACTGCACACAAGCAAAGTACCAGCAAAGGAGGGAAAAAAAACTCCAGAGACGTTCCTGAGACAGGAAGTCTAGTCCTGCCAAGAATGTAATAAGGGTTAACGAAGTGGCAGTTTCTGTAAGCAACACCAGAATGTTTCCTTCCTGCCTTCCTTACAGGATTAGGCCAGTAATTTCTTCTAACAACTGGTTCTCCGAACTGCTTAGAATGTTAACAACCGGTTCTAGTGAATAGGTGCAAACTGGTAGAATCCCACCCCTGAACAAAGCTGGCTGTGTATTTGTAGGTTTCTGTTAGACTTTAAGAAATGTGTTGCTGCTGCAAACTGTTGCTGCTGCTGTGGTCTTCATTGTCCAAAACAACAAAGGGGATCATTAAAATGAAATACGATTCAGCAAGCTACCACAATGATTGCTTATTATTATTTTTCACTATTTGTTAAGTGAAGGGCTATACAATTTGATTTTCCATCGGCACTGGTTCATTGTCGTTGTCTTAAACAACCTCTTCTCCAAAGCACCTGAAGGCAGGACAAGAAGCAATGGATGGAAACTAATCAAGGAGAGAAGCAACTTAGAACTAAGGAGGAATTTCCTGACAGTTAGAACAATTAATCAGTGGAACAACTTATCTCCAGAAGTTGTGAATGCTCCAACACTGGAAGTTTTTAAGAAGAGATTGGGCAACCATTTGTCTGAACTGATATAGGATTTCCTACCCAAGCAGGGGGTTGGACTAGAAGACCTCCAAGGTCCCTTCCAACTCTGTTATTCTATTCTGTTCTATCTATTATGAGTCCAGAGAAATCCCATTTAAACTGGAGCATCGAGTATTGAAGTACTTCCTCTGAGTTATTGTGAATGGAGCTTAGGAAGTGTTTTTAAAGCATTTCTGAACGCCAGTGAGGCTATGTCATCTATTCTCCCCCCCTTCCCCGGATCTAGACAGACCTTTGTGTGTAGATCTTTTATTAAAGAAAATCATTTTTGCAAAGCAATTACACGTAACTGTCTAACTTCAATAGTTTTATTTTCCAAAGGTTACTCCCACAGAGGTAAGATAAATGACTAAACAATGAAACAGCGAGCTCAGGTTTAAATTGAGTCTGAGAGGAAGGATGAGAAAGAGGAATCTCTCCACGTTTCCATTATTCATTGTTTTCGATATACGAAATTAAGGGTAACATGCAGTGTTTTGTAATATCTGAGCTGAGGTTCTAGTAGCATGGGATTTTCATTGAAACGGTAAGAAAGTAGTTGAAGATTGCTTTCTCTTGGGACACAGGGAGTCCTCAACTTATAATAGTTCATTCGAAGTTACATTAGTGCTGGAAAATGTGACTTATGACCATTTTTCACATTAACCACTGTTGCAGCATCCCCATGGTCGTATAATTAAAATTCAGACACTTGGCAACTGGAAATGTGTGTAGATAGAGAAAGAAAGAGAGAGAGAGAGAGGGAGAGAGAGAGATTATTCAGAGTTTTCCAGCGTTAATTCAGCGCCAGAAAAATAAACCCAGATGGCTGGTGCTTCATTTAACATCTTTATAAACATAATAAGTAGATTTTACAAACCAGTTGTAGATTTCTCCAACATGGAGCAAATTCAGACAGAAACATGTTGCAAGTTCAGAGCAGAGCTCCAGTCTTCAGCAAGCAAGCAAGTTAGTTTCATCTTCAATAGACAGACTCAAGAGTACAACATAGCTTCAGAGCTGCAGAGCTTAACATAGAGTCACACCTAGGCTACTTCTAGTTTCAGTTTCCAAACTGTCCTCATTGGCTGACTTAGTTGCTATGCCTATTCATTGGCTGACCTTGTTACCAAGCTCTATTCCAGTTCATGAATATACTCTGACAGATATAGATATATAGATAGTTGCAGTGTCCTGGGGTCATGTGATCCCCTTTTGCGACCTTCTGACAGAACTGCGGGGATTCACTCAGCAACCGCAGAAAGAAAGGATGTAAAATGGGGCAAAACTCACTTAACAACAGTCTCGCTTAGCAACAGAAAATTTGAGCTCCGTTGGGGTTGTAAGTCAAGGATTACCTGGACGTCCCAGCTCAGATTTATATTAACCTACTGATTTTACGCAGTGGTGAATCTGCTGAATACCACCTCTGATTTCATGTTACCATGGAAAACATTTTGACTTTCTCCCGAAGATGCGATTAACACTTCTTAATCATCTATCTTTCATGCCTTTCTTTTCTAGCCACTCGAATGAAGGTGTGCACGGAATTTTGGTGTGATGCAGTTTGATCCCTTTTGTCTCTTTCAGCAATTTTGTCTGCCAGCCAGGGACTTTCTGCTTTTCTGTCCGTTGTAGGAACTGACTTCCTTCAGTATGTATACGGAACTAATATTTTGCATGGGTTTACCTTCCAAATCTTGGAGTTTTCACACAGTTTTGCACAGAGCACTGCTTTGCAAACAGGAATGCCCTAGACAGCTGTGGGTCGACAACCTGGTGTCTTCCAAATGTTTGAGACCCTGCAGGAAGGACAATTTGTAAAGCAAATTTTTCAAAAGGTACCATGTTGGCTGCTCCTGTCCTAACGGGATTTAGCTTCATCACTTCATCACTTGACTACGCATTCTGAATGTTGCTGTTAAGACTATATTTTATTTTAATTTTATTGTTCTCACTGAATTTGGCTGCCAAGCTAGTGTTTGGATGCTTTAACCACACACCTTTTCAGTTTGGGCTCCTTCGTGTGGGTCAGGAATTCTGGGAGTCCTAAGATAACAAGAGACTATCGGATGGAGGCAAGTTGGTGTAGATTATTGTGTGGAGTCTCTCCAGGGAGGAATGGTGGCCATCCACCCGAATCTGCACAATTTTATTTCCTTAAAACTAGTGGTGGGATGCTGCCAGTGTAACAACCGGTTTGCCGATTGCACACTTCGCGCCCGTGAACAGCTTTCCAGTAACTCTTACCTGCTATGTTACTACTGGGGAGGTTTACAGCTGAGGAGTGTCAATCCACTTTGCAGGGCCAATCAGCTGAGAGGATATAGGTAAGTACAGCACGGGGGTGGATGGGTGGGCCCACGTGATCATTGGAGCAAACCGGTTCACTGCCAGCTGATCGTTGGAGCTAGGGGCTCACCCAAACCGGTCCGAACCAGTAGAATCCTACCCCTGCTTAAAACACAGCACCAGCATCTCATGTTTTCTGTTTCTTGCAACTTTTCAATCTCCGTTAAGTTTGGCAGTTGTTATCCATTAATTATCAGCCATTTAAAAAAAAAAAACAGTCTGATTATGGCATGCTTGTCATTTATCTGCTGTTCAGGCAAAGAGAAGGATTAGATTAGCATCATCCATCTTTTCAGGTGCTGAGTCCCTCCGCTCCCTAACATACTTTTGTTTGGGGGGGGGAAAAATCCCAAATTACATGAGCAAATCATTCATGAGACCCATCAAAGTTACCATGTTTCAGAGTTCGTCTGTAAAGGTTTGCAAGATCTCATGGGGAAAAAAATGCTGCCGTTAGGTGAGGTTCGGTAACCTCGCAAATGCTCAGCCATTTCAAAAACCTAATAACGATGATTATATTTTGGACCTCTCCTAATGCCAGGGACCACGCTGGCAACCACGGTTTGCATTTTTCCTTTCATTCCAAGATGGCAAAGCCTGTGTATTTCCAAGCCCCCTGTCATCAATGATCTTATTCTACGGTTGTAACTTTCAGCTGCATGCCAAGATGTGCCGCCAAATGTACTCCTAGTAGAAAAACTTGTATAAGGGGCTGGAGGTGCTGTGCATTTTCCAACCACATGGTTATTTTTTTTTCTCCTTGGACTTTTCTTCTAGTTTCCTCTACCCACCCTCATGTGGTTCCCACTCCTAAAAGACTGGAGGCTGAGGGGGTCCTTGGTGCTCTCTGAGCTCAGTGGTTTTCGTGCAGACGTTTCCTTACCCATACTAGGTAACATTATCAGTACTAGAAGGAAGCGTAACAACAGCCTAATCAAGGAACCTCTAAGAAAATCCCCACCAACACTGACAGGGCGAGCCACTTCTATACAAACAGAGAACCAAACCCAACTCCTTTCTATGTAGTACTGATGATATTACCTAGTTGGGTAACAAAAGGTCCACAAGAAAACAACCGAGTTCAGAGAGCCCAAAGACCCTGAGCTACAAATATAATCATTTACTGAGACTAGAGACCGATTGGTCAGTATAGTCCTTGGAAGTGTGCCACTTGGAGGTTTGCACATGCACCTCTCTCTCCCTCTCTCTTGTGCCACTGCTATATGACAGGAGAATGCCCACAATCATTTCTTTCTGTTTTTGTTGCTCCTGTCATTGTCATGCTTTGTTAGGTACAAAGACAGGAGGCTGGCCCAGCACAAGTCAGAAATAGAGTGTTTCACTCCAAAAGGGAGTATGGGAAATGGTGGGCGAGCAACAATGAGCAGGTAAGTGAAAGCATGAATGCCACCTGACCCCTTCCAAGGGTCAAGGGGCTTGTCTGTCAGAGGAGCACCCCGGGGGAACATTGCAGCCCACCTCCTCGCTGTGTTCTCATTATCATCCAACCTGTGCAATGTATCTCTATATGATTTGTGTTGTTGGTTAGGGTTGCAAAAACAACTTTGGCTTCTTGTTTGGTCTGTGACAGCAGCTCCATTTGCAGGAGAAGGTTCTAAGTGCCAAGAGCAGGGGTGTCAAACTGGTGGTCTATAAGCCAGATGCATCATGCCCAGGCCACAGCCACCCAAGCTCCGCAAAGGCAAAAAAAATGTCATGATACATCACCTGACATGACTGAATTTGACACCCGCAGCCTAGAGAACAGAAACAATCCTTTAAGGCAGACTGGAGAAATGTGGGGTTGTGAGAAAGCTGAATTATTTACTGCGTAGGGTGCAGGGGGACATTGCAGCCCACCTCCTCAATGTGTGAGCATTGTCATCCAACCTGTGCAGTATGGTTTATGTTGTCCGATCTCCAATCAGGATTGTAAAAGCAGCTTGGCTTCTTGTCTAGTCTGTGACAGCAGCTCCATTTGCAGGAGAAGGTTCCAAGTGCTTGGAGAATGGAAACAATCCTTTAAGGCAGACTGGAGAAATGTGGGGTTGTGAGAAAGCTGGAAGCTTTTCTAGGTGGGCTGAACCTGGGCCACATCAAAGTGGATTTCCCGTTGTTTTCCTGTTTGGCAGGGTTTTTATGTTATAATGATATTGAACCTATGATAAGGATCCAGGGCAGGGGTGGGATTCTACAAGTTCTCACCTATTCGCTAGAACTGGATGTTAACATTCTAAACAGTTCAGAGAACCGGTTGTTAGAAGAAATTACTGGTCTAATCCTGTAAGGAAGGCAGGAAGGAAACATTCTGGTGTTGCTTACAGAAACTGCCTCTCCGTTAACCCTTATTACATTCTTGGCAGGACTAGACTTCCTGTCTCAGGAATGTCTCTGGAGTTTTCTTCCCCTCCTTTGCTGGTATTTTGCTTGTGTGGAGTGACCATTCAAAGTTACAATGGCACTGAAAAAAGTGACTTATGACCATTTTTCACCCTTACGACTGTTGCAGCATCCCCACAGTCATGAGAGGCCAGGCGAGGAGATGCGTGCCTCGATGTGAGTGATATTGAGTTGGCCATGCCCAGCCAATAACATGACCACCAAGCCACATCCATCCAGTCACATGACCACCAAGCCACGCCCACCAACTAAGCCACACCCACAGAACCGGTTGTTAAAAAATTTGAATCCCACCCCTGATCCAGGGGTACCCACAAGACATGGTCAGAAAAAAGGTGACCATGAAAGTAGAATTGAAGCTCCGTCCACTTGGATTGCATCCATCACAGCAATCATCCTGATTTTCTTGACTTTATAGGTACATCCTCCTGATACACCTATAAAGATTATATTATGGATGGTCCTCCTTTTATGACCAGTAACTTAGTGGCCATTTGAAGTTAGAACCAACCCAAAAAAGAGGACCTATAATCTGAATTCAAAGTTCTGATGGTTGAGCCTCCTTTGCTATCACTTGATTGAATTTTGAGTGATCAGTAACGCAGCACATTTGCTGGCAGAATGGCACCCATAGCGAACCCACTGGTTTGCTTAATGACCAAAGATTCACTTAGCAGCCAGCGACTCACTTAATGATCATCACAAAAAAAAAGGTAAGATTGTTATGATTATGACCACTACAGCATACCATCTTAAGGGGCAACTCCATTACAGTTCTATATTGAGGATTACGTGGATAGTTTTTGTCTATTTCCCACAGAGAAGAGTATTGTTAGGGATATATTTTTAGAAAGAGACATTATTTCTAGTTTAATGAAAAGAAGGACAAGCGGAGACATGATGGCAGTGTTCCAATATCTCAGGGGCTGCCACAAAGAACAGGGAGTCAAGCTATTCTCCAAAGCACTTGAAGGCAGGACAAGAAGCAAAGGGTGGAAACTAATCAAGGAAAGATCCAATCTGGAACTAAGGAGAAATTTCCTGACAGTTAGAACAATTAATGAACAACTTGCCTCCAGAAGTTGTGAATGCTCCAACACTGGAGGTTTTTAAAAAGAAGTTGAATAACCATTTGTCTGAAGTGGTGTAGGGTTTCCTGCCTATGCAGGGGGTTGGACTAGAAGACCTCCAAGGTCCCTTCCAATTCTGTTTATTCTATTCTATTCTGTTCTGTTCTGTTCTATTCTATTCTATTCTATTCTATTAAGAATCAAGATTGCATGAAGTATTAATACCATTTTATAATGCCTTGGTAAGACTGCATTTGGAATATTGCATGCAGTTTTGGTCACCACAAAAAGGATGTTGACTCTAGAAAGAGTGCACAATGATTCCAACTCTGTTATTTAGGTTATTTTTCTATTGAAACAGGAGGCTCAAAATTGGGAACTCTCCTGAGATATATTTGGCCTAGCAACAAGGGCAAAAAATGAATTCCAGCATTCCTAAAAAGGTGAATTTGTTACCCATTTTCCACTCGCTTTTCTTCTCCTGATCTTCGTCTGAACCCTTCATCCTCCTCTTCTTTCTCTTTCCTCTTTTCTTTAATAGCAAAAATGCCCTGCAGGGATTGGATGAGAGCTTTCTCAAGGTACTTAGCTTTTGCTGAAAAACACTTAGACGTGTAGTCTACCATGACGGGGGTAGTGGGAATCACACTTGAGAATTTCCAAAGGCACCTGCATAATCCACAACTCATCCCTAAACTTCTCCCCCAGATAATGCTAGCAATCAGAGATAAAGCAGTTGTGTAGGTTGAATCAAATATAAGGATTGCGAAGACACGCAGAAAACGTTGATCTTTTCTTTCTGCACTGAGAACAGCCAGAAAGATTTTGACAAAATAGCTTCTTTTATATTCCCTGCCTCCAGGATCCCATAAGCTTCATCACAATAGTTGTTTGCTACAAGCCAAACTATTCCGGTACCCCCAAAATGGGGATAAGAAAGTCAAAACAATGTAAGCAATAGCTCATAGAATCTATACAGGTAAGTCCTCGTCTTACCACAGTTCGCTTGGTGGCTGTTCGAAGATACGATGGCACTAAAGAAGTGACTTGTGACCAGTGCTGGGATTCAAATTTTTTTGCTACTGGTTCTGTGGGCGTGGCTTGGTGGGCATGGCATGGCGTGGCTTGGTGGGCATGGCAGGGAAAGGATACTGTAAAATCTCCATTCCCTCCCCACCTCACTAACCTGCTTTCCAGCTCTGTTCTCCTGTGCAGGGCAACCAAAGAAGACCCAGCCAATCAGCTGGGACTCGGGAGGCGGAGAATAGATGGGGGCGGGGCCAGTCAGAGGTGGTATTTGCTGGTTCTCTGAACTACTCAAAATTTCCGCTACCGGTTCTCCAGAACTGGTCAGAACCTGCTGAATACCACCTCTGCTCTTTGCAGCATCCCTGTAGTCACAAGATTAAAATTCAGCTGTTTGGCATCTGACTCCTATTTACAACGGTTGCATAGTCCAGTGGGGTCATTTGATCCCCTTTTGCAAGTTTCTGATAAGAAAAGTCAGTGGGGAAGCTAGATATATTTAACAACCTAACAACTGCACTGGTTCACTTAACAATTGGGGCAAGAAAGGTCATAAAATGGGACAAAATTCACTTAACGAGTGTCTCACTTAACAGAAATTCTGGGCTCCCTTGTGGTCGTAATTTGAGGATTACCTATAGGCAGTTAAAACCCCATTACAAGCCAGGATAAACAAAACTAACCGGTTTGAGGGTGCTATTTGCTTTGATTAAAACCTGCACAGTTCCTTCTGCCTTGGCACCACTAAGTCCTCTAAAATCTAACAATATTTTAGAGCTTAGCCATGTAGTCAGGAAAATTTGGACTTTGGGACCACAGTTGGGCGCAACTTCCCAAAATACAAGAATCAGCAACCTTTAAAGAGTTTATTAAAACATTCAATGAATTAAATTGAACAGAATTCATATTTCCAATTTTTGAATCAGAATGGTCCTTCGGCGATGACGTCCGAGCTATCCGAGACATCAGTTTGACCACTGTTACCATTTTGTCTCTTTGTTGGCCAATGATGTCAGCAAGCCTCGATCTCATTCACACATCTGCTTGGTATTGATTGCCCATGGTTGTTTGTTTTTTTCATCCTCTTGATGTTTCATAGAGCCTCTTCTCTCCTCCCTTCCTTTTGTCATTGCTGTGTCTGCTTTGAACGTCAATGAGATTGATCTGTTCTGTGAAAAGCAATTCAGCAGAAGGACAAGAAGCAAATTGGTGGGGATGCAAATATCAATTACTCATGTGCCATTTTTTATGCCATAGAAAATAGGGGTGGGGTTTTTTTTCCCCATCCAATGTTTGTTTTTTCGTCTTCTCATCTTGTATGTTTCCCCCCTAGAAAAACAACACTCCCTTCTATGACCAAAAGAACCTAAAAATTCCAGTTCGGTAGACACAAAATGCACCATCATACTGAACAAGTTGCATTAACTTAATAGACTGGAAATCCTATTATGAACAGAATCTGGAGAATTCCTCTTAAGTATCACTTATTGTGATTAAAATGGGTGATTCTTTCTTCTTGGTGTAAGAATAAAGAGAAGTAATTGCAAAGTTTACCAGTTCAGAACACTGAGTATATAATCCTGCAAGAAAAGATTGCACCTTAGAAGCAACCTAGAACTAAGGAGAAATTTCCTGACAGCTAGAACTATTAATCAGGGGAACGACTAGCTTTGAGAAGTTGTGGAAGCTTTTAAGTGCCAGCATTCCAGAAAACCTCCACTCCAACAAATAACTCCGAGACAGACATCCTCTCCAAAGTTCTTTTTATGAGAGGAGTAAACTGGCACATCTGGGAAATCCCGAATCTGAAACTTCCGGGTTTCCCTTCAGTAAGTAAAAACTACAAATCCACCTCCTGCACCCCTCATTGCATCACATGCCCCAATCACCAT